ACGATTGTCGAACACCTGAAGACGTCTCTGTTCCGTTGACCGAATAGGCCAAATCTCACAACCATACAACAAAGCAACCCGTACCGTAGCTTGATACGCACTTCCCTTGAGATTCAGGGATAAACCACTCTGACGCCATAGGTGTGTCAAATTAGCAAACGCGGCCCGAGCCTTCCAGATTCGTGCATTCATTTCATCTGTGCACTACATTCAGAACTAATACAACTTCCAAGATATGCAAAACGCTCCACAACTTCCAGTACCTCTCCCTAGATTGTAAGTGGCGTGTTCAGTGACTGCATGTCCACGAGCATGACCTTACACTTTGTGGGTGCGAAGTGCATACCAAAGGACGGGATGAATTTGGTCAGTTCATCCAAGAATACTTGCTGCTTTTCCTCCTCTTCGAACATGAGAACGATGTCGTTTGCATATTCCAGATCGACAAGGCTTTCTTCACAGGCTATTTGAACACCAGGGTTTTGGAGACCCTCCAGCGTTTGTCTCAGTAGTTCATCGATCACGAAGTTAAAAAGGAACGGAGAGAGTGGGCATCCCTGACGGACACCGCTTTGTGTACGGAAGCTTTTGGAGAGCTCTCCGTACACTCTCACCAGGCCGGAATCTCGCTTGCTGCTCTCGGGTCAGTATCTCACGAGCCACAAGGCGACAAAGAACAATTGACGCGAACAGTCTCGTTACAACCGGGGTGAGGCTGATCCCCCTGTGGTTACCACACTCACTACGCGCCCCTTTTTTGAAAACGGGCACTATCACCGATTATCCCCAGTTGTCTGGGACAGACTCGCTTCCCCAAATGCAAGCAACCATGAATTGCACATAAACTCATTCTTGCAGAAAACCACCTTTCGTATGGAAATTCTCAGAGCTCACTACAAATTCACATTCCCACAACTATGTGGATACAAGGATCGGATTATCTTTGTAATGAGATGTACCCTGGCGAATATACACTCATCTGCAAACTAATTTGGTTCTTTCGAGAGACTCACCCGGGGACTGCGCCTACCTGATAAGCCCCAAGAAGGGCGAAACCGGTCCTGGGCTGTCGGTGGATTTTCAGCAACCTTATGAGTAGTACATTACAAATAGAGATGTACCCTGTCTAACAAGTGTCGTTAACAGCAGTGACCAATCGACGGAGTCGAACACATACTTGAACTTAAAGCGTACCAGGATTTTCCATCAACTGTGCATAAGGCATTGGTCTAAAACCCAACGGAGTGCGAGGTTGTCGTCAACGAAGCCTCTGTCCGATCGGAGTCCCGCCTGATGCTCACAAGTCAAGGGTTCGCGTGCCGCCGTAGGACAACAAAGAATCAGTGACGCCAGAAGCCTAGTCACAACGGAAGTCACACTGATCCCCTGTGCTTAGTACACTCGCTGCGATTACCCTTTCTGAAGATGGCTACTACCACCGGCTTACCCCAGTCGTCCGCGACTGTCTGTTTCTCCCAAACAGGCTGCACACATTGTTCGGGGAATTCACCTTCGTTCTTGAGCAGAGCTGGTGGCGGACCATCGGAGACAAAGTACGATGACTTTTGAAAAGAGACATATACTCTGACACTGATGACGGTAATTCGGACTCCATGTTCACAATCCACAATTCTGTCAGGCTGGCAGTTGCAATCGGAGTTCAAAGTATTCTACCCAACTGCCTAAACTTTTCTTTGCTCTAAAGGTCTCGCCAGACCTGAAGATCATGTGATGTCAAAGTGAATCAAATACTTTCGAGATATAAGAAAACGTTAAATTGAAGCTAGAAGCAGTCACCGAAGAGTGATGAAGCTGAGCGTTTAACGGTGCTGCAATTCCTAAACAGCCGTCTCGACCTGGCAATGAAAACTAGAGGGAGGTCAGTTGTTACCTAATAAACAATAATAGTAATAGTTTAGCTGTAACATCCATCCGGTGCCTAGCTGTCATGCCACCCTAAGGAAGCACGAGGGCTAAGATACTTCCAGGCTACGCAGGCCAAGACAATCTACGGCTCCAGTGACCGTCAAGGAATTTAGGAAAGCGTCCAACCACAATGGACGTCATAGTGATCAGTCTCAGTTGGTTAGATGAAGTCGGATCTTTTATTTTTGTAATAATGGCACAGTGGCCAGCTCCTCAGAGAACTAGTAAGCTCAAATACCCAACAATGGCTTTGATGTTGAATTGGCGGAGCATCCTGGCCGTGAGCTTGTCCAGGCCTGGGGACGAAATGTTTATTAAACGGATCGTATGGCCGATTTCTTCATCTCTAATTCACTAGAGCAAACTCCAGTCGGATGGTAGCATTGCGTGACTTGGCTGGCTATGCACGTGTTTTGGAGCAGAGAGCAACTCGTCCCAATACTGCTCGGCGTCCAGAGGTGAGTCACAATTACTTTTATGTGGTTCCCTCCACGACCCATCGAGCACAGCAGACGCTGCATGTTTCTGTCTTTGGTGGTGTAGGTTCTAGGTCGCGCCATGGTTGGCTGCGCGGATATGCACACAATGGGCTTGATGATAATAGCGTTGGGAGACATGGTTCCACGTGTGTGACCTAGTGGCGTGGGGGTCCAGAAGCAACATGACTTTATTCGGTGTCGTGATGCCAGACTGCAACCCTCGGGCAAATGCTAGAAAGGCAACACTAGCGAGCGAACTGTCAGGATGGAATTGCAAGAGTGACACGGCGCAGTTCGCGGTTTGTTTGAGCCGGACACTATAGTCTTCAGTGTGTCATATGTGAAGATGTTAGACCGATGGTTTGTTCAGGGCTTCGTCTAGCTTTGCTTACCAGTTAAGCACACGTGACCTAATTTTGATACTGATAGCCAACTTGCCAGGAAAATATTACCCTGATCTTTAGAACAGCACGGTTTGCGTGTCACAAGACGGATGTAGATTGTTAGTCAGGCGCAAAGATGATTATGACTGGTTGTAACCAGCGGACACCAGGATTCTTCACTCGACCAAGCTTATCTGCATTATCCTGGATGGCGTGTATATGTCAGTGGTGTTGGTTCAGGTCAGTCTGCGTCGGAAAAAGGCGGAACAATCGGCGCTGTCCAGATGGGCGTCCTCATTTGTACCAACAGTTTCATGGGCATGAACTGAATGACGAGCTACCAAGCCAGCACTTGCCACACTCCTTACGCGTGAGTCCCGCGAGTCTCTCCTGTGTACTGGTTGGAGCGCCAGATGAATCGTGTTGTACATTGTTGAAAGTAACCAGCATATTAAAACAAAATAGGGTGGTTGGGTTGCTGAACTCTTAGCTCCTGGTGGAACTAGTTCTGTGTCGGAAGTGTCGGATGTCATTATCGTCGAACAAGTGGGACCTAACTCAATACCGTCAGTCCACAATGACTGCTCAACAACTGAAATATTGCCTATTAACGATATCTCATCATCCCATTCTAGTGCTGACCCAGGAAATTGCTGGGATATTCTTATACGAAAACAGCACACTCACCCATACAATCCGCGCAACAGAGAGGCATGAGCGACCCCACGTAGCTATCACAGCTTTTATTTTACACTCGTTCCCTGCAAAAGTACACACTCATTCCAAGGCGGGAAGAATTTGATGACTATGTTAATCATGCCTTTCATACACCGTTAACTATGTATCTTCAGCAAGGTGATCGCAAGATCGTAGTCCTTACATTCTGCAATGAAGTCAAACGCTGTCTAGTTAGTGTGACTTTTCCAATTTACTTAAACCTTCAGGTTTAATTGAGTAAATGTATGCTTTTAAGGTACGGAACCAATGAGTCTATCGTTTTGTGCCACCTGGTGAGTGAGCATCAGCATCAAAAACCGTGGGTTGGAAAATATGATCCATTACTTTAGACGATTAAATTGTTTCGGGAATCGAGTGGCTCCAGGTTGAGATTAGACTGATGACAGAATAGAAGGTCGTAATGTGCGCTTTAATAGTCTGACAGCGGTAGTATATGAGCTGAAAATATAGAGTGAGAATTGCGAGTTAATGGTGTATGAAAGGTAATGTTTACATAGTCATGACAGTATGTCAATGTAAAGACTGCATCATGGCTACATTGGCCATAATGGTGCACAAAGCGCCACATGGCGATGATTTTCACTCTCTGCAGGTGTTAGTCATCTTGAATGGATTGGATTACTCTGTTCTCTGTTGACGCTGACCGTGTTCAATGGTCATCATCATCATTGTCAACTGTAAGAACCGCATACTTGTCATACAGTACATACATGCACACACACATACATACAGCTGCCACAGTTTCGTTCACCGATGATTTGGGGAGGTGGGATAGGTATCTGAGAATTGGAGGCGGGAGCTGGTAAATTTGTGCGTAGATACAGCACTGCCAGTGGACTGTCAGTTGGAGAATTGAGGAGGGAGCTATGAATTTAAGGTAATAGCGTGAATACATGAGCGCCATTGAGGGCGCGACTGAGCCATGTCTAACGATGTCTCTAATCAATAATGATACCTGTCTCGGGGTCCTTACTCAGGAAGACGGAAATGACCAGCGCAGCTGAGTTTGCTGGTAACAGCTTTCATACTTCGCTGACAAGTCATTTTTTGACCGCCTTTGGCTCGTTTCCACCATTCATGTGGTCGTGCGAAAAGAACCCTCCGAGGAAGCCGGTCGACTGGCATACGCAGCCCATGGCCAAGCCAGCGCAACATATGCAGTGTGATCAGTTCATCTATCGAAGATGTTATTTCTGCCGAATACCATTCGACGAACTTCAGCATTGCTGATCCGGTGTTCCCACCAGATTTGAGCCATGCTTCGAAAACATCGGTGGTCTAACACTGAAAGCCTTTTGACGTCCTGGCCGCTGTCCGCGGCCAAGTTTCTGATCCGTATAGCATAGGGCACCGCAGCATTGTAAATTGTAAATTTGTCTACTACCTTAATCGGTTCATCCGCAAGCATGAAGTTAGGGTTCAAGCCCACCCAGTCTTGCAGTAGCACTGTACACTTTGCAGGTGTGAAGCGCATACCAAACCGTGGGTCGGAATCATTTAGATTATTTGATATTGTTTGAATTACCACGGGGTCAGATCCAATAAGAGCTATGTCTTCTGCGTACTCGATATCTGTGAGCAGACGCCCCGGGACCACTTCGACCCCACATTCATCAGAAGCTAATTGTGAGTTTTCCATGATCATATCAATGACGAGGTTGAAGAGGAAAGGTGAAAGAGGACAGCCCTGTCTGACACCACTTGATGTGGGGAGCTCAGGCGAGAGCTTCACACGGCCGCGGGAGTTGGCGTACAGCGCCTTAAGGAGGGTCAAGAATTTATGGAGGATACCTTAGCTCCACAGACACTACCATAGTGTCTGACGGTCCACAGAGTCATGGGCAGCTTTCAGAACAAGAAGCACAACCATTGTTGGTTGCTGGAAGCAATGTCGCTGTTCCAAACTGTCGGAGGGTGAAGATATGATCGATGCATCTTCTTGCAGGACGGAACCCAACTTGTTTCTCATGAATATGTTTATCCCTGTTCAATTAACCTTCGAAAGATATGACCAGAGAGCGACTTCGGTGCCACAGCTAACAGGCTGATGCTATGCCGGTTTTCACACACTTTTTGAAGATGGGGATAACTGCCGAAATGTCCCATTCTGTGGGTATTTTCGTTCCATATAGCACCAAAAAGCTTTATCAGATGGGTCATCAGGGATTCTCCGTCTTCTTTCGAGAGGACTGGATACAAACCGTCCGGTCCTGGTGCATTCTCATGCTTTAGCATTGATATTTCGTACCCTATTTCTTCCTCCAATGGGTGATCGAGATTTACATTCCGTTCGCCTGTTTGCACTATCTCTACAGGCTGTGTTGCAGGAGGCCAGCTGAACTGCTCTTCAGTCCATCTTCCCAGTCGACGTTTTTGCGAGGGAAGTAATGAGCCATCCTTTTCACTTATCGTTTCTCTGACCGTTGCTTTCTCAAGGCCCGTCGATCGTATCAGTTGATATAGGGCACGGCCGTTTCCCAGAGCAAAGGCCTTCTCCATCTCTCGAGCTTTCGATGTCCACCAGAACTCTCGGTCTTTCCGTAGACTTCAATATTTGGCGTTTGAGAGTTTTGCGTGCGCGGTCGGACTCATTGCCTGCTGGTATGGATTTCCTGGCATCGATCATGAATAGCGACCTCGATGACATCCCGTGGTCTTGTAGTCAAATTGGAGAGGTCGGACAGAGAGCACTGAACACCACTAACATAGCTGCTTTTACATTTTGCTACGCTTCATCCACATGATCACTGCCACCACAGTATTGGTTTGCTGTGGAGAGTTGTTGGGCTAGCTCAGATCGACACTGTTGAGCTATGATAGCTTTTCGAAGACAGTGGATTGGCATGCTTCTTGCTGACTTGCGAGGGCCCGAAGGGAAGCGAACTGTCAGGCGTTCCTGCACCATGGTGCAACCGGAATCAAGTGTGTGGCCCAGAAGGAACGCCAGTCTTGAATTGTGGTTCTCCACCGGTGGCTGATGGCCACGTGTTCCAACTGGGTCCACGGTTGATTTTTCGATTGGTGGCCACCAGGTTACGTGGTGCGAACGTTTATGTTGAAAGTTCGTACTTGCCAGAAACAGTTCATTGTCAGTACACAACTGAAGGAGTCAATCTCCATTGTCCGTGCAGCGAGCATCGACTCCGTATGGACCGCCCAAATGTGAGTCCAAGAGGCTCAGATGACCTACTTGAGCATTCAAATCGCCTGCAATGATCACATTGTCAGTGCTTTTTGCCTGACGAATGAGCTCGGATGGCTATCGATAGAAAGTATCCTTCGCTTCAGTTCGTTGGTGTTGTAGCTGCCGCAGTTTCGTTCACCGATAATTTGGGGGGAGGGGTAGGTAGCTGCGAACTGCAGGCGGGTGCTGATAAATTGGTGCATAAATCCGGCATTGTCAGTGGGCTGTCAAGTGAAGGGGGTTGGAAAAGGAGCTCTGCATAAGCCGACACTACAAACGGGCACCACTTTTCATGCTGAGGGGTATTGAGCTTGATTGAACTGGATAACCGGGCGGCGCAAAGACGACTGTTCACTGGGATCCAATCCAGCAAAGCGCGTTCAGCTCTGAGGCTGAGTGCAACTCCCACACCATATATTCCACGAGCCATCACTTCCGGGTCACCGGACACATATAGGGAGAAGTGTGAAAGAGCTGATTTAGTCTTAGGTGTATGGAAATGAATGACCGCGCTTGGGTCCTGTATGCATGTTTAAGCGACACAACGTATATCAATTTTAAAGGAGTATAGGGTTCTAGCGAGCATTGCCCGTGTGCTAGTTCGACACTGGGTACGGGCGTTAAAAGCTCCCATGTAGAAAGAATCTCGTGGATTTGGTAGTGTTGTTTTGTTTCTTTTTAATAAGTAGCGGAGAACATAAGGTCCATCGGTCAGATAACTGACAGTCAAGTGACCCAGTGACGTTTGCTTGTGTGGTGGGAGGGTATTGGAGAGGGACATCGGTGGACACCGATGTCTCACGTATCATTTGCGCGGGCAAATGATACTTTTCGGTTGCCCAGGCCGAGGAAAGGATTTTGATTGAGGTACCCGACCTTGAGCCTTTGACTCAAAAGTCTGACTCACAAGGCAGTGGGAGGACGTAGGGTTTTGTTCGGGGACCCTTCACCTAGCCTCTGACTCAAAAGTTTGACCTACGAAGCAGTGGATAGTGGGTTCTCTTTGAGGACCCCGCTCGGAAAAAATAAAAATCATTCAGCTGTAGCCCCTTTTTGGTGCCTAGCTGCCATGCCACACGAAGGAGGCACGAGGACTGGAATGATGCCAGATTACCAAAGCCTAGACAGGAAAAATAGAGAGGCGGAGGCCGGGTTCGAACCACGGAACTTCCGGTCAGTAGATTCGCGCTCTAACCATTTGGTCTATTTCGCCCCAATGGTCTGACCTGCTTGGCCGCAGGGGGTTTGGCCTAACCCGAGGACACAGGGAACAAGGCAATACTGTCTCCATTCCTAATGCGGCTGCGCACAACAGTTGCATTTTGAGCACCACCGGACTCTAGTTTTAAAAGTACTTCGACCGTATTGGATAATGCGCCGACGTCCACAGTCAACCGTTGGACGATCGGAGTGTGCGGCTTTTAAGGCCGACCTTTTTAACCCGTCCTTCCTCGGGGGAAGGCAGCATCGCCGTTTGCATAAACATGGAGATGCTGGTCGCCTGGGGAAACACCCCACTGCCTTCACACTCCTGTCGCAGAGGACAGTACGACTTTACATCCACACCGCCTCGTAATACGGGGTCCCGCTGCTCTTGGTCTGAATGCTCCCCTTTGGCTTTCCTGGCATGGTTGCACCTTGTTGAACGAAGTTCCAGCCGCGGGATCATTGCAGCACTCGAGCCCGACCACCACGTCAAGGTGGCAGCTGTTGGTCAGGATGTTCTCTGATAATACGGATAGTACACAGGTACGTATCTAGCGCAACACAGCGAATAACGAGTAAGTTAAAAATTAATGGATGTCGTATGTACATCAATGTGATTGTCTTGATGTATGTGCGACATCCAGAGTATTGGTTTTCACCTGCCAACTTACTTGAAGTAGAGCCACTAAAATCAGTGAAACAAAATGTGGCGCGTGAAAGTGGTCAAATCAGAAGGATCCTTACATACGTTACATCGTGCATTTGGCTTCAGTAGGTAGTTTAGCCGTATTTAATACGCTGACGGTTACGGTCAGTCGGTAGTCAATCGGAGTGTGCATCCTTTGTGATGCACCTTTTTAAGACGTTCAGAGTTCATGCGAGAAAGAGTTCAAAGAAAGTTCGAGTTATAGAAGATAAACAGCGTTTTACTTGTCTAGGAACAAACGTTGATGATCTGAAATGTACACACAAAGATTCAGTACAAGTATATTGGGTGATTATAATAACAAACCGGCACCAATCATGAAACTTTTCTCATTCGTTTCGACGGTAGGGGTTGCATTTTTGCTTCGGCGAATATGGGAGTGTTGGTTGCTTGGTTTCTAACATAACACACCACTCGCAACAACCAGTACGAATCCATATCACAGGAGTTCTCCGCAGGCGCTTGTTCAGCGTCGGAATTTCCGAGGGGTGACATCCCGGAATTTGGCCGAATCAGGGAGTGTAGAGCTAGAGAGAATCCAGCGGTTAGGGCGCGTCGCTAATACTCAGATGGCCCTTGTTTCGAACCCGATGTTAAGTCTTCAGTGTCTCCGTATGGGCATGTGAATAGCTCAGTGCTCATTCTGCCTTCTGTCTGCATGGCAGCTACGCACCGAAAGGATTAACCCCTCTTGTGACTGTTGCACTAGAATATAGTTTTCTAACTTTTTTTTAAAGGAATGGTGGTGCCTCCTGGAGGCAAAATACCCAGGTAAACTTTACTAGGGTGACTTTCAGCTGTATTTTGTTGGATCGTTTTTAGAGTAAAGACGACTTTATGGGGCTGGTTTCGGTAGTCGCCTATCGATACCAATAATTGTTACTCGTGACCGATAAGTTCGGCTCGAAGTGTGCAACTGCCTTTGCGAGCTCGGTATTTTTAGTATTTAGGCATGGTAATGCATGTTTACTTTTCTGTGTACCTGTCTCCACTTATTGACTATCAGTCAAGAACAATTTTTCTTATCTAACTCCAGCTTTTTCACTCCCTAGAGGAGTACTTCCGGATAGCGGACCGATAATCGGAATCGAATTCTTCTTTATGTTGAGATAATGACAACTGAGGATGATGCGGATCTGATTGGTTAGTCAACCACCTTGTTTTTGTGTGCTTCATATATTGAGCTGTATTTTCGGCCGTTCTGTCGCAGACATTCTCTTTTTGTCTGTCGTCAAAAAAAGAATGGCTGACTATACAGTCCGTTTATCGGTACGGCAGTGAAGCATCGGTGTTGAACACTGATGTCATGCTGTCGATGATGATGATGATGATGATGGTGATGATGAAGAGTCTGTTTATCATGCAACTCTGAGTGTTTACTGGGCAACATACCATATGGTTGTTGGTACTTTTATTCTATGCAGAGATGAGAGCTTTTTGGTAGGGATCAGTTTCAGGTCTTCGCTCAGCAACACGCCTCAAACAACCGAATGGTGTTTTCGATTTGCTAAGAAACCTGGGAGCGCCAGCTTAATCTGTGCCTTTGCTGGATTCGCCAATCGTCGCGTCATCAGAGATGTGCATTTAATAAGGGTACCTGACCGTAGGTATTAAAACATTCTCCGCAGCATAAGTGCGTAGATTGTATAGGAGTCGCAGGTGAGAGTTCTTATTGATTGATAGTGCTCATCATCGGTAGGGGATCCACTCATATGGTTGAAGGTTCATTCACACGTATAAGTATTCATGTATGGCACTTGATTAGGCAATAGGGCGACCATGTGTAAAACAATCTATTCCATATTTTTTCAGTAGACTTAGTGGATAATGATAAGGACTGGACGTTTTTGTTGATAAGTTGGCTGAGACATCCCATGTGACTGAGTTTCATCCCTGCATCCATTTCATTGCTAGCTGAGAGTCCACTCTAACCAGAAACCCACGAAATTTAGATTTGTTCAATCTGAGTACCTTCACACAATGCGGGGTCGGTTGGATAAGTTGTATTGTCAAGGCGTAGCGACTCCACTGCGTTCCCCATCTAATTTCCCAAATCCTTCTCTTGAGCTTGTCGTTTAGGCTTTCCGGCGATCTGTTTCTTTGGAAACCATTAACGGACCTCTCGCACACTTCCTGGGTGATAGCTTAGTACACAGCCTACCGTACATGCCTAGTATGCATGCTTCAGTTTAATCTTGTCGCTATATATATATNTCAGAGGGATGTAACTTTTTGTTCTTCTGGTGTATCAGCTATTCAGTTTGTACTCAACTCTAGCCAGGTGATTTTTATAAGGCGTCGTTTCCTTTATCCTCTTTCGCTACCGAAAAAAGAATCATGGATTGAAGTTACCCCCCAGATTCTTGGCTATCAGCCTTTCGGAATAGCCACAGCTCCAACACAACAGCCATCAGGCACGGACCTGGGTAGCTTCCACACAAATGTGGAAGAGATCCTTTTGACTCGTCTACTGAACGAAGCTCAGGATATTTCCGATCTCGGAGTGGCTGCACCTCCAAGTCCTCCTCCTTCAAGAGAGTGTGTTACCCCTTCGGAACATGATGATTTCGGACGTAGGTGGCCGTTGCCACCCGACGCTTTGCTGTACGCTGCAGCACTCAAGGCCTCCTCGCTATCCAATCCGGTAACTACAGGACCTGGGGAATGGGCCAGTCGACCCGAAGTTGGAGGGTAAGTATATCATTCCTGGTAGAACACTCTGACATCAGCAATATATTCTCACTAAATAACGGGATTTTCTGCTAATTTTAAATCTACTCACTAGAAATCCTTTACTGACTAGTTTTTGTTCCCTTGAGTGGCAGCAACCTTTCACACTCAGGTGATACGTACTTGCTAAAAGCTATGGGCCATTTCCTTGTGAAAAAAGGAAAGCTAGTTTTCGTGACAGAAGAACATTAACCGAGAGATTTAGCTGGATTCAGTTAAGTCCTTCGGTAACTGAGTATATTTCGCATTTTTCACTAGACCTTCTGATAACTCAGCATCGTAGAGTTGTATTATTGAAATGCCCTTGTTCGGTCCGTGAGAACAAATAAGGATAAATATTTCGCACGAAACGATTCCAATGAAAGTGCTCCATAGCGGCTTCGATAGTTGTGTAGTTATTCCGTATAAAGTAGAAACATCGGCTGTTATTCAAAGACTGTTAACGCCAATATTCGAGAAGCGTTCCAGAGGGGCAAAACTCTGCCCTCAGTTTTGGTGTAATTGAAGGATACCCTCCCGGTTGAAAAGTTAACAGACAGTATAGAATTAATTGCAACGGTTTCACTAAGGTTTACATGGGACAAACAGCCAGGGAACCGCACACCAGAAGCAGGAGGATAAACAAACCACCAATGAATGTACACGAATACCAAGCATCATCACCATTATCATCATCATCGACAGCATAACATCAGTGTTCAACACTGATGTTTCGCTACCGCAATGCCACAGTTATGTGAAAGTCTTATCAGGGATGGGGAAAGAACTTAGTGCTAGCCTACCTCTAGTACGTCCCTGTTCCATAACCGAAAACCCGCTTTCTAACTGCCTCGTTACAGATTCCAACCTACATGAGCTATGGTTCTGAATCCAAGACGTGAAGACGTCCCACTTCCACTGCTCGAACAGGCCAAGTCTCGCAGCTAAAAAAAACAGCCCATATTGTAATCTGATTCACACGTTCCTTGAGATTCAGGAATACACCACTTTGATACCATAGGGGTCTTAGGTTGGCCTCGAAGACTCGTGCATTGCCTCCATTTGTCACACTACAATCGGAACTAATACAGCCTGCGCGATAAGGGAACCGCTTCGCAACTCCGTGTGCCTCTCCCTGGATTGTGACGTGTCCAGTTACTGTCCAGTAGCCTGACCTTACACTTTGTGGGCGTACACAAAGTGCTAGCAAAGGATGGGATGTCTTTAGTCAGTTCGTCCAAAATACCCGCGCCTTTTCTTTTTCTAAGGCAAAAACGATGTAGTCTGTATAGTTTAGGTCGACAAGTTTCTCGTCAGATGCTGTTTAAACACTGAAGACCTTCCAGATTTCGTCTCACTATCTCATCGCTGACGAAATTAAATGGAAAAGAGAGAGCGGACACCCGTGACAGACGCTGTTTTGTGTACGGAAACTTTTGAAGAGCTCTCTGTATACCCTCACACGCCCGGTAGTCTGGGAATACCAAACGCCTACCCAATTACCCCATCACTGAATGGTGTATTATCTATCTTTGGCGTTGTCCCATATTGCATTGTCTCAAAATGCTTGAGCGCTGTTTCGAAAGACTTATCTCTAATATCTCACTTCTTATGGTCATTTTCAGCTTTCTCTCCGTGGTGGATCGTCCGGATGTCGTCGCTAGTCCCTCTCTTTCCACGCGCTCCGAGAATCCACCACAGTCATCCCATTGGTCTCTCCGCCATTCAGCCTTGATGAAATCGCGTTTACTAGCTTGGCTTATTGATCATGTACCAGACTTTCTCAGTCATGCAGCAACATTCCTTCTGGGTGCGGCCACGTAAGTGTTTTTTGACAGATTTGTGATTTCACTATCAATTCGTTCCCTCAGTTCTCTTCTTACTTGCGGTACAGTTCTTCAAAAATTCTACAGGATGACTGAGAACATTCGCACTTCACGAAATCGCCAACCTTCAGTTTTGCCTCTGGTATGGTAGTTTATTGGTGGTCAGATGGATTAAAATTAGCCTGTGAGCAAACTGTGAATGTGACAAGTGGAGTAATTTTCTGTCCGATGCTGGTTACGACACCTCATTGTTCTCGGGCAACAACTTGCGTGCACAATCTCCAGCTCATGCAGCGCCTTCATGACAGGTTGTCGTCATCAGTTAAAGTGGATCTTCTAGGGGAACACTCACGTGGTCTATCTTCGGTGTGTGTGTGTGGGGGGGGAGGGAACCACCCTCATACAGATCGTAGTTTTTGCACTGAACCACTTAAGCTAATAAGTGACTCGTGAGTTTCCCATTAAAGACCCTCCAAACGGTATCAGAGCAGAAGGCAGGACTACTACATTCAATAACTATTGGTATGAAAAAGCCATCTTGAGGGGTATTACAAATAAGCTTGTTGGTCTAAGCCTGTTCAGAATCTAATTGTGAATCAGATTACTCTCACTCAACCATCGTTGCTCATTTCAATAAACGATATTAGTGGCTTAATCCTCACGGAACCCTGTCGGTGACTTTAGTCTCGTCTCACCATTACTGAGTCAGCGCGACCATCCATACCTCCACATTCTATTGTATTCACGAAATATGCATCTTCTAGGTTAACGTCTGAATCCATATAATCTATTCGGCAGATGTCGGTTTGCAGTTTTCTCGATTGCCGTTTAGGGTAGCAACAAGAAACTTATTTTTAGCTACTTTCCACTACACATGGGACCGAGCCTTCCCTTGTAAAGGCATTGAGGCAGAACCTTTCCAAGCCTCTAAATGTACTACTGTTCACTTTGAAATTTTCCTAGGAATGTCAGTCTTCATTTCTCTGATGTAATATAATACTAAATTATGTTTGCAGACCGCTGGGTCCACTTTTAAGCTTCCAGGATATCCAAATTTCGACAGTCTGCCGAAGTTGGCGGTCCTTTCCCATCTTTATGACGTGACAGACACCAGCTGCAAAATTAATCGCATTGGCATTATGTGAGCCATATCGGACCACTACGGTAGCGAAAAATCAGTGTGGAACACTGATGTTATGTTATTGTTGTCGTTGTCAATGGTGATAATGATGACCGGTTTAGTGTGATTACCGTGCAGCTGTCCGCCATTATTTAGGCCATCGAATAGAACAGATAACTTCATCACCGACATTCCACCGGACCGTCGCATTTAACTCAGGAGAACGTAGGAATTCCTAGTTCATATGCGCGTTCGTTTTGTTCTGTTGTAGAGGGGAGGAATTCCTAGTTCATATGGAGTGCGCGTTCGTTCTGTTTGTAGAGGGGCTTTTTTCTGCTATTCATGAACTATGAGACGCCAGTAGTATCTGTCATCTGTTGTTTTTCAATGACTTTTCTTTTTTGTGCTGCTACAACCTTCGGGATTCTTTTAAACAAGTGATTGTATGTGTACATTTTACCGTTGAAATGAAGCACCATAAGAACATGTTGAATCAACCGCAGTTACCGTAGTTTACGCCAGTCCGGGTAGGTTACTCATGAGCATAATCGCCCAACCCATGCCGTACTCTGGATTACGCGCCGCTGGCGCTATATTTCGGGTCTATTAGTTGGTTCAGGGGTTTGTGATAAATGTTCGAGCGCATCGGACAAGACGAATTTCTATTTTTTCTCTCCAACGTACTCAGTCACTTGTACGTGTGGTTGCCATATGTGCATTTCATGTTTCGAGAAAACATTTGCAAGCCCCGTTTGGTGTGCACTCTAGCACGCTTCAGTGTGCTCTGTATCAGGTGACCATCAGGTGATATTTTGTTATTTGGCTGTCTGGCTTTTATGTGCTTGTGTGCTCACTTAGTAGAGAATCAGGGCAGACATCACGTTTGTCTGTGGCCCCCTATTGTTCGAATGCCAACGAAACTTGTGAGGTATGTGGTTTTACTGCGTTGCTCCCCTAGGGCAATCACTTCTAGGGAACAACTATGTTGGTCGCTTTAGGGAGGGCGTCTCCTAAAAGGGATCTGGATACTTGTGTTCCGATGAAAAACTTAAAATTTTGCTGTATTTCCTACCTTGGAATCCATTGTAGCTTATAACAGTTGTTGTGTTGAAGGCCGATTTTAACTAGGCAGTCGGAAAATCTTCCACCTTTAGGACTCTGGCAAATCAGGTTGACTTCCGCTGATTTTTCACAGCAGCGTAAAGCTCTATGTCATAAGGCTTTCAAGCTTCATTTTTTCACCACAAAGCCTCCTTCCGGATATGGTACCAGCCAAAATAAAATCGATCGATCTTTCCTTCTCTCCGTGACCTTTTTCTGCCTCATCGAACTTCAGTGACTTGATCTGATGCCAGATGAGGGCACTCACAATGGATGGGACCGCACCTGAGCGCTGATTCACGTGCTGCCCAGGTGAATAGTGATTTGGACCTTAAAATTTTTTAAATTATTGTCGTTGAATAGAATTTTAGTCATACCTTATATAAAAAATGCGTTTACAGTGGGTTTGGGATGACTGCCTTCTTCCATCCAGCTTTTTCTGCTTAAACCAGTTTGTCTCGGAAATGTCAAACCGAACTTTGGCGTGTCTACATGTAGCCACTTCGCCACTCCGGCACAAAAAAGACTTCAGCGCTAGGATCTATTTCACTGGTAATAACAGCTGTTCTTACCACATGTGCTGCGGATACTACGTTTGGTTGAAATATATTACCATTCAGGTTATCGAAGCAAATACTGAGCCGTCCAGTAATCAAATACCACTGGTCTACTCTCACACTTAGCAGACACGGGATAATTTTTCAAATGCTGATTTGAAGGTTTTTCAACTGTGAAAACCCTCGCCTAGCCTTTCCAAGCTCAGACTTTGGACTTGAGTTATGCTTCGTGCAGATCTGCTGCTTTCAGCATTGTAGTCGAACTTAATGCTTTTTAACCTCCGATGAACACAGATTAAACCCTGTCAACTTTGCAACAGTTAGATGACGCTTAATTCAAGTGGGCTTGTAAGCAGCTCCTGCGCACTTTAGTCACATTCTTTTTCCAGAAAGTAGTTTCACGCCAGCTGAATAGTTTAGTTCTAGTGCAGTGATTCTTGATCTGGATTGTGATCAATTTGTCCCCATAGACCAACGACAATATCGCACAGCTTTACGGGCGGATAACTTTCCGTAAGGGTAGTATGTGGTCGGTCTTCAGAACAGCCCACGAAGAGTCATCTTCAAACTGTTCTGCTGGCTCTTCATGACAAGCCCTTTTGCGCATCTAGCCCAGAACTGCTCGTTTCGATTTATCCGTATTTCCGTATGTTCCACCAATGTCAACAGCACCACATCATTGGACACATACAGCCTTTTACACAAACACAATCGACCTTTTAGAACCACTGTAGGGCGACCACCAATGAGCAGATGCGTTTCACCTCATCAGTCAACGCGTGACAAAGACTGGTTGTCTGCTCAGCCATATTGTTATGTATTTTTTGAGTTTAAGCGCAACTTGATTCGATTAGCTGAAGGCATTTCACTAAATGCGTAAGAGAAGGCCAGCGTTTGAAGGGCGATGGGCGAATCAGTGGCATATAGGCTCAAAGCTCTAGTCCAGCTGAAAGTGCTAACATGATTAAAGCCCAGAAAACAGAAATACTCCATCACGTATCTTTATTGCACAGCATGATTAGTAATGGAATTGCGTCTATACCCTTCTTTTTTACACCCAGAGACTTAGACCAGCTCAAATAAGTCGTCACAAGGTAATAATATCCAAGCTTTAACAGAAATAATGCTTTGTACAACCTCTCTACCTTTAAAGAACGTTGTAGAGAATATATTTTGATCAACTGACTTTATTCTGGAAATCACGAAGCAATTACACTTCATGCATATGTCATTCAGTGCTATTCTCTGTTATCTTGATCAGAAATCTGTCCTGGAAACAATTTACAGGGTCGTGCCGACAGATGTCATTGCATGCATTCGTCACAGATGTGATTGGACTAAATGCGATAAACTAGCAGTAAACCAGCGAACCTACTAGATCATAAAGTGTTGGTTAGTGTTGTAGGAACAGACAGTGTGCTCAGAATGTACAAAAAAATTGGCCTCCGTGAGGACTAATGTTGTGATCATTTAGCACTGCAGGTTAACTTTTGAATCAATAAACTTCACTGGATATCCGACATTCTTTCCACGTAAGCACTACACGAGCACAACTTCTGCAGTAGGTCCATTGATTCGTCCACATGTTTACCAGTACACCCGATAGACCACCCTCGAATGGACGGGTCATCAAAATGTTCACTCTTGGGTGGCCATGTGCTTTCTGGGGGTTCTTAAGCACTTCGGAAAAAGCTACTATGTACCGAGGTTAGTCAGGTACTGTAATCTAAATACGGGTTGTGCTTACTGGTCCTTGTTGAGATTTAGTTGGTGCCCTCCCTCAAGGTATAAGATCCCAACATAGTATCACAGAGCTGTATTCTGAAATTGTCATGTTTGGGATTAGTCTTTCCTAAGGGAAGGGAATACCACATGATCAATCCGTCTGAATATCTTCCTGTTGCAGGATGCTTTTCTTGTTACGGAAACGAATCGAATGGCCCAAGGCTTTGGCTCATCTCCCGCTCGACTGAACCATCATTACCAGCCAATTGTGTGATGCTTCTTCTGGTCTGACCCAGTCGTTCTGGACTTGACTCACTGCCCACTCCAGTTCGTGTTCCGTCCTCGTATCATACATATACTTTGTGCACCTTGCCTATTTTGCCACCAAGGTTGCCATCATTTATGTTACTGTCGCCTTCAGTCGATTCCTGTTCGCTTCCCGCTGTTGCACGTCGCGCTGCATGATGATTGCTTCCTCTTTCCCAACTACCACCATTGCTACTTGGTCAATATACAACCACCTGTCCTCTGTTTCTGCATCCCCTGCTCACTCTTCAACTTCATTCTAACGGATACGTCTATCATTTTTGTTTGTTTGTGTGTGTGTGTGCCTAATAACCGCCTGGATGCGGTCATGGGCAGTCAAATCAGGCGTTTTCCGACTTTCTCTGATTTAGATGACATTTTCTGGCTTTCTTTCGCGTCATTTACCAAACTAACTGTCGTCGTATGTTGTTTTTCTCATCGTGCCACATTTTATTCTTTTTTGTCCACGATAATGTGATTGTTTTTTAATCATGTTTTCCCAGGCATTCAGTACACTCCAGTCATTTATCATACTGAGAGTTCTTTTGAAGCAAGCCGGGTCATTTTAGCATTGTCTCCGTGCTGTGATCAGCCACTCGACCCTTAGAAACATGGAGGTTGATGCATTTTTAGGCTTTCCAATGCAAAACACGACCAAGGAGGAAAAACGGAGTTGCATTACGATTACTAGGTCTTCAAGTGGTCTACAGCATCAATCAATGGACGCTGTGCTCGGACTCTGCTGCTCGTGCTTGATTGGCAGCGGCGATTCAGGATGTACTTGAAGTGGACTCATTCTTCTCTAGGAGAAATTTGCCGCAAACTGAAGTGGTAGGTGAGCTGGTTATTTTCATTAGTGATTCAAGGCATGATTTTTTTTGTTTGCATGGCTTTCAAGTGCGATGTTGTAATCTACCCCATTTCACTTCACGGTGTTTTGCTTTGATGGCTTGATAATTTGTAACGCAGAAAAGTGCGTTTGGGCAACGTGACTATCAGACAGGCTCCGCCCTATCCCAAACGATAAATGACAACATATAAACCCTTTGGTATACGCTAATGGGATTTATCCGAAAGTACATATCATCGAGTTTGACAGGATCGCCGCACGCTTTCACACCAAATGTTCTTGGACTTCCATGTCCTAGGTGTCGTTTGGTTCATTTACACATGATTGGCTGAGAAGCTTCCGTGAATTTCGGTTCATGGTAATTCAGTGGTAGAGATGCGGGCTACTGAACTGGCCTTTCAGCCTTCTACCATCTGCGCGTGGGTAGCCTAGCATTATCTCACCCCTCGTCTTCCTTTCGTGGCAAATATGCACGAAAAGAGTACCACAGCTGAATAATTTTCTTTTTTGAAAGGATTTTTTGTTATCCTCACCTATTTCTTGCTCCAAGAGTGAATACCAAGTGCTGAACGGTTTTCGTGTATACTGGAATCGTACGCAGCCTCCCCCCGAAACGGACGCTTCATTTTTTACTTCCAAAATCCAACGGTCACTTCTGTAACAACTCGTTCATTGCACCTCATACGAATTAAACGACTCCCAGCATCACGTACAACCGCCAACTAGATTTACCATGGTTTTCTCATCTCTCCAAGGCCAAACCGATTTCGAATGACAGTTTATGATGTTGGAAACAGTACAAATGGAGTCTGACTGAGAACGTTAATAGTTCGTACTGTGTAGTCGATGGCACCGAGTCTAGTTTGAACGAATGCATGCGGATCGCATTTGAGTGAGAACTGTTGTTTGGTAACACAGTGGGCCAACACCAGAACATGATGCAGGGCGTTCCACCCATCGTGTTTGCTGATCACATGTGAATACCAGGGCTACATAAACAGGAATCACGAAAAAACAGACGCTCGTTGCGTGCTCGCAAGTGCATCTTCTGAGTAGATGGTACCAAACACACAGTGAATGTATTTTTTATACCATGGTTGGTGTAGCATGAGAGCATTTTTAATTGCTGACTGTGTTTTAATCCAATTTTTAGCGCAAAAAGAGCAGTCCTAGCGTGTGAATGGAAAGGCCAAGACAGATTGATGGGTAAACATCATTCAGTCACAAAGCAAAGGCACAGATAGATTCTACGCATAGGTTAACCATGTAACGAGAGCGCCGGATTGTCTGAACTTATGTACGCCTCGTTGCTTGGATCGAAATGAGAACAAGTCTTATGCTTACCGTCAGGGTAAGGTGATACTTCGAGATTCCAGGAGTTGTTGTACACGGAGCAGGTGAAGTAGACCAGTTACAGCGAATTGGTAAAATGTTTATGTGAACGTGATGGGATCAACACGACTTGCTACTCGGCCGCACACATGATCGCTATCTTGGAAAATGTTTTGTCTAAAATACATTCGTGCATATTTCATGGCCAAATTCGAATCTTTGTTCAGATGGTTTTCAACGGTTACGATAACTAATATGGATCTGATTACGCTCCCTAAGGAGTTAAATGCGCCTGTATCCCTCAGTCTGAAGTATGGTACTTAGAATATAAACCAAAAATATGAAAAGCCGTAATACACTTTTCATAAGGTTGCGAAAAACTCTTCGACAACCCACTCCTAGTTTTGCCCTTCTTGTGGCTCATCAGGGCACATTCACTTGCTTAAGACATCATTAACGAGATTCAGTCTGGATTCGGTTGAGTCTCCTCGTAAAACCAAATGGGTGTGCAAATGAGTGTATTTCCCAATGGATAGTTGTCCAACGATAAAGCTCCGGAGAACAACTACGCTATCGTATAATCTCTGAATGATACACTGAAAAAGTTTACATCGAAAGATAGCAAACCACACAATAGAGCGCGGATGTTCTATCCCATTCTTTCTCTCCGGTAAGTGAGTACACGCTCAGGTAGCGACGTTGGTGGGCAAATCAAGTGGCCTGATGTTTTGCTGGTTAGTTGAGCCCCTGGGATGGCTTAGGTTTACTGCGATGCCCTAGCGAGCTAAAATTGCACGAATCAGTGAGCAACACATTGTAGACTGCTAGGCGAGAATAGACGATCGATGATGATTGATTCTGCCTGAAGCATACGTCCAATTACGGACCTAAGATAGTCCATTGAGACAATTCACTATGAGGTATAAGGTGCGATTCAAAATATGGGTAATCTACAAGCGAATAAAAATCAGGGAGCATCAGTATCAACATTGATGTTGCCGCTGCTGCTGATGATGATGACCACTGAGTTCTAAATGCCAGGAGCCCGGTGTGGATAGAAACGACCTTGCCGTGCGCAACAGCATTAGGAGCTGGCTCTTCCTGTCTTACTCTCTGCGTCCACGTGATGGGCCAGTCCCCTCCTCGATCCGTTAACTTTTGTCAAAGGAAGGACGAAAATATTGCTAAAAATTAGTGAGACCAGAGAATTTTTCAACTGCTGTCTTCCTGAGCTCAGTTTCTTAGGTCATGTGGGTCCCAGCTGGTGAGTGCGTGAATCACCCTGATAGACGTAGCGTAGATTATTCTGAAATCGAACTCCATGCGAGTTCAGTTTTCCCACAAATGCTTCTTGAGTAATACTCTGTCCATAAGCTTGACACTCGATACTGAACCAAATAATCGGATTGCCAAAAAGTGCTACATTCGTTTATCCATGTAGATACTTCCAAAGCGACCACAATCAGCTCTTGGGTAGCGAATTCAATTTACCCGACTACTGCAATGTCTTCACTACTGTATGGCAGCAAAATACGAATTGACGACGGAACTTCAGGACGCTTGATACCTCTAATCCACAATACCTACGCAAGCTCTCGGAGATTTCATTTCAGTCAAGATGAAGGGACACAACGACACAAGGATGCACAACGAGTTACTTTGATTAGATCACGTAAAACTAGTGGTTGATAATCATATCCCTAGACAGCTCATCTGTATTCACTTGAGTAAGAGAACTCAGGCTCGAGGACGACCAGAATCCCGCCATTGAGGGAGCTTATACGGGTTGTTTGGCCACGAAGAGACTGGACCTCACCGTGGTCTGGCGGTTTGTGTACCTCGGAGACCCGTTAAACTATACTGGAGAGTGTCCGCACGATGCTCACAGAGTCTCTCATACCAGGTTGGTCCATGGGTAGAGGTCCGACGAACACAGTCTCCCGGCCTTCCAGGTTGGGGGTTGGAACATGTATGGTGACGTGTTCCGTAAAAGATGGTAATGTACTTGCCTTTCCAGCCGAACACCGCTGCCTTGCGGTTAGGCTTTTGAGCCAAAGGCTTTGGTTGAGGACCCTAGTCGTCCTCCTGTCTAGGTGTGGGCGCGCTGGCAGTATCCCAATCCTCGTACAACCATGACATACACAACTAACATTATTCTCATGCCACATCGGCCGTCGCGTGGTGCCATCAGCCGGGTCGCCTTACTTGCTGCATACAGCAGGGCGGGTAAGCGAAAAGATGTTACTGCTGACGCCTCCCTTCTTACACTTTTTCTTGCACATTGGCCACTCTGAACTTGTTTCCGCATCTCGGGAATATCCGAAACTTGGCAACTTGGTCTTGCCAATGTCTACCTATGGAAGCTTACAAAGACTTGAGACAATGTTTCTCAATGCCGAAGCATTGGATGTTTATTCGAAGTGGCCGTAGCATGTCGAGTACAACTAAACTTTTGTGAACCCGTGAAGCTTGTTGTTGCCATGTCTGTGTAGAATCGGACTAACCGATCTGCATAGTACTCACTGTAAAACACCACAGAAGCACTAACCGGTTACCAAAATAAGTTCACTCCCAATTCGAATCAGTAACTTCCATCGATACTAGTTTATTACGGGAGAACAGTCTCGGTGTTCTTATGACTACTTATTTGCTGCTTCATTATTCATCCAAAGAAGGTGCTGGGATAGTAATTTAGGTGGTGGAATTGTGGTAGTCCCCTTGAGGCGAATAAGTCAGCGCCCTAATACAAAAGAATTATGGTTGGTGCCCGTTGTTATGCCATCACAATTGAGTCTCTTCATGCACTGTAAAATCTATCTCCAGCTATGGCATTCCATGTGCACTTCACATCAGCATTATCGATTTGCACGTAGTACCTACCATGGAAGGTTCGGCGCGAACCGTTTATCCTTTACCCAATCTTTACAGATCTGCATTTGACCAATCAATTCGGCTACCAACCCATCAAATAGCGCATCTATTCTCAGGCCAAAGATCGTTAAGTTTTTTCGCTTGTTCTGTGTAAGTGAAAACCTGGTAGTTGTTTGCTTTGTACGTGACGTTTTACAATTTGCCGAACTTTTAGTGTGAACTGCTCTGCGCACGTTTAAGTTCGTTTTTTTCTAATCCGCATTCATGTTGTTGTGACAGCGACCTGAATGATTTATACTATCATTTTTGGCAACATTCAGTCGGTAAATCTAATAGTATTCCGTCCCAGAATTGACAATCAAGTTATTTTCTTTTCTCCTACTTCTCTCTTTCTATTTCCTCAAGTAATTCTGGCTATTTCAAAGTCAAAACGGGCATTTAACGGTACCTCTGATCATGTTAATCTCGTTCTACATAAAATGAATTGTCGTTCGTCGCACTAGGA